TCAGAGCCTGGAGCCTGCTTTGGATTCTGTGTCTCCCTCTTTCTCTGCCCCTCCCCTGCTCATGCTCTGTTTCTCTCTCAAAAATAAATAAACATTAAAAAAAATAAAAATTAAATAAAAGTAAAATCTGAGATGTTACCTGTAACTATTGAAAATGAAAAAATATTTTCTGCTGTGGTTGCTAAGCTGGTAGGATGTAAACCTAAAGATGCTTGTGCTATTTTGTGTACCTGAGAATGAGGAAAATCACCATAAAGAGACAGAGGAAAACACAGACGGAAAAGGGGCTAGATACTTAAGAAAAAATTTAAGAAATTTGAGAAATAAGAAAAATTTGAGAAGCTAGGATTTTTAGATCTGTAAACCAATGTATTTCTTTCTTCTTCTTTTTTTTTAATGTAAAGCTTGCGTAGAATTTTTGTCACAATTGGAAGGTTCCTAATAGTTATAGCAAGAGAGCAATACGATCAGTGATCTAATCAGATGTCTAAAAGTAATTTTTAATAAATTTGCCACATAAAACTTAGTTGCTATTGTCCAATTTAAAGTTAACATGTTTATATAGGTTTAATTCGGTTTAGTCTTTTATGAAAAAATAATACAGATTTTTTCTGTCATTTATTTAGTAAATATTTATTGGGTAATGAAATTGTATATAATTAAGTTGAAATAAATGAGCAATCATTTTCATTTGATTATGATTTAAATCTGATTAGGCATATATGTTAATTGTGTTAAATTTCCTACTTCAGTGTTTAAAATGTTGATCCTTTTAAAATGTTCCTAATTTTCATATGTGTTTCATATATTATACAATGTATTCTGATACATTGGCCCAATAATGTTCATTTACTTGTCAAATGAAGAGAAAATACCCTGAAGTAAATTACCACTGAGCATTTGGTTTATATTAAGAAACAGAATGGTTCTGTGAAATTAGTCAGAGAGACAAATATCATAGGACTTCACTCGTATGAGGACTTTAAGAGACAAAACAGATGAACATAAGGGAAGGGAAACAAAAATAATATAAAAACAGGGAGGGGGACAAAATGTAAGAGACTCATAAATATGGAGAACAAACTGAGGGTTACTGGAGGTGGTGTGGGAGGGGGGATGGGCTAAATGGGTAAGGGACATAAGGAATCTACTCCTGAAATCATTGTTGCACTATATGCTAACTAATTTGGATGTAAATTAAAAAAATAAATACAATTATAAAATTAAAAAAAGAAACAGAATGGTTCTGGTGGGAATTAAAATATCTTTCACTGATACCTTAATAAAGAGTGAGATAATGTATGTGAGCAATTAGCTCCTTGATGGGATTTTTAGGACGCTTAAATTTAGCAAAATCTTACTTAGTGTGAGTAGGTTTGTGCTTGTGTGTGTACGTATGCATATAAGTGTGGTGTGATTAAAAACTTTAAACATGTTTGGTTAGGCTAATAACAATTGGCTCAGGTATAGTTTCAGGGTACTAGTAACAGCTCTATTTTACTTAAGTTTTGAAATTTCCTTTGCAATGTGAATGTACCTCATCTCAAACATTGAGATGTTCCTACAACATTACCATTAAAGTCTTGTTTTTAATATTTGTTATCAGACATCACAATTGGTTTCCCAAACATTATTTGAATTCAGTGTGTTTAAAAGCAGTATACTTGAGGCAATTCAATATATAGGAAAGAGTATTGGATTGAGAATTTAGAGACCCTGGTTGACGACTAATCATTAATTCATTATTTGCCCAATCATTTAAACTCTCTAGACTCCAATTTCTGAAACTCTACTATGAGAAGGTTGAATCTATTTTTTCAAAGTTTGATTTATTCAGTTGCTTAGACGGAGAATTGGGCAGTGGGAATTGAAAAGAACACCTAAACCATAGTGCTGGATTGGCAACCATGAAGTAAAGAGGAAAGAGCAAGTGGGGATTTTAAGTTAGTGCAGCAATGCTGAGCTAA